ATTTGATGTTGATGTTTATTATTCACGGGACAGAATCTGAGTACTCTGATTTATCTTTTCTCATTCAGTTTTTCATTATCCTTCATTAACATGGATATTCAAAATTTACTAAATTGAAATCTTTTTATCTAATTAAACATGATAAATTATTAGTATTGCAGAAACACCATTCAGAATAGTGAAATAGAGGCAGCTTATAGGACTTTTTTACGTAATATATGTATTACATATGTATGTTCATATAATACATATACAATACATATATTACATTCATTAATCAATACATATATTTTTATATATACATGAATCATTTCAGTTATCAAGCACTTTTTGAATAGAACATTAGTAAAACTTTTTTTATTTTTAAGATAGAGAATAAGCCTTCAGTTATGTTCACTCTCGTGGAACTACTCTTAGAAATTCAATTTGTCCTACCCTGAAACATACTGCTCATAAAAACTAAAGGTAATCTTAAAAACTAAGTTAAACTGACACCTAGCCCTTCAATGGCTAATACTGTGAGAAAGGAGCTCTAGCTGAAAATTCCAGCTACGTATAAAAAAAAAAAATCTTAATCAAAATTTTTAAAAAATTAAAATTGAAATTAAAACAATGTAAAGTTTTCTTTCTGTTTTCATTGGATATAGCAGTAGTTTCATAATCTACATTGCCACTGGCCTTAGAGGTGTTAGTTTTGATTCAAGAGTAGAGGAACATGCAACAAAATTCACATATGTATCTGTATGCATGCCATGTACTTTGTACTTCCTACAGCTCATGTACTTCTGCCTACCTCCTGTGACGGGGCAATTGCACGGTACATATCAGGGCCCTGGAGGCACAAATATATTTTGATGCCACAGCCATTCCCCCTGCTCCTAACATTGTTATAAACCTGTCCCAGGTGTCCACTTTAGCTTGTATCTGGTCTGAATTGAGATGTGAGCCAGTATGGGGTCATGCTTGATGCTTAATTAAAGTCAAATTAAGTAGGTACAAAGTTTTAACCAGCAGATTTGGTCTATTTCACCTTCAGTCAACAAGCTGCGAGAAGGAAAAGCAATTGAGTAGCAAATGCATGGTGAAAGGAAGCGAGGAAAAGCACATTATTTACTTATGTGATTAACTGTGGCCTCCCTATTCACTGGGAAATTTTGTGAAACAAACAAAAAAAAAATGTTCCCAAGTCATGTTAAGTGCTTGCAAAGGATTTAGAATAATGTAAAATAAGCAGCTCTTTCCTTCATGATTAATGCTAAATACAAGAAGTCACATCAAACTTCTCAGAATTTTTTTTCCCTCATGGAATGAGAAGTGCATTCCACTAGAAAATCTACCCTACTCAGAATGTCAAAATGAACTTTTTAGATGTTTTCAATCTGCCAAGATAAAGACATCCTCATAAGTGTAGGTAAATGTCTGGGAACTGCATTTGGCAAAGAGGCGCTGTAATAGAAACACAAGCATAATTGAGACATTTAAGCTGCCCCAGTGCAAGAAATATTCTCTGTACATCTGTGCTTCCTGGAACCTTAAACACCAGAGGCTTCACTTTCATTTGCCTAATACCATGTGCCTGTTCATAATGATGCATAAGAATTATACTGTTAATCATTCCAGTGTCAATTTCACAGAGAGTGGTCATCACAACTTCATTACATTTCTCCAGGTAAATCCACTTGGCAGGAAAATCTTACATCAAATAGACACTGTGAGCAGGAACTGCACTTAGCTAATAGACTCTTCAGAGTCAAATACCATAGCATCTCCCCTGCAGGCATGTTTCTCTATCACACAAACACACTTGAATGAACCAAAGGACCTGAGTGAAGTTATGTTTCTTTATAGAACAGCAGTGGTTGAATAGGAACAGTCAGGGTCATCTTGTCCAACTGCCTTTCTCATGCACGTTCACCTACATGTCCAGATGTCGTCTGATTATCTCCAAGAAGAGAGATGCAACAGCCTCTGTAGGTAACCTACAAGTGCTCAGGCACTTGCAAAGTGTTTCCTGATGTTTGAACTGAACCTTCTGTGCTTCAAACTATGCCTATATCCACGCCCAGAGGCATAATTAAAATTGAAAGTTGATGAAATGTTGGGGAAAATCATAGACAATTCCATCATTAGAACTGAAATGGTATTTTGACAATAGTCAACAATTATCAGGAAAACCACTTATTCAAAAGCTTCAGTGACAGCATACTAGATTGTTTGAAGAACTCTACCTTTTTTCCCCCCCCCCCAATCAATAAAACAAGCATGTTGCTTCCTACCTAATCACTAGAGTCCAACAAGTGAGATTCCTACATGACACATGTACTGCCATCAGCAATGGTAGTGCTGTTCTGTCTAAGTTAAGAGGTATAATCTTTTGGGCATATGCCTGACTTCAAAAATGTTGATCTAAACAGAATCACTCATTCACCTAAATTCCTTTAGAAACCAATGATAATGAACTGATATTATTTTTATTATTTTCCTTTTAAATATTAAAATGATTGAGATTTTTTGGGGGGTAAGAGATGTTTGTTTTTCTGGTCAGATTCCAATCTCTTTTACTAATGTTTTCCCTGCACTCTAATTTCATTTAATACTTCCATTAGTTTTTCCATTGAATTAGAGTATACTGCTGGGTTCCACCAAACTGTTATTTTCTACCTGCAGACGATATATTTCTGGTGCAGGCTGAGATCACAAGCACAACAATATATTTGCTTTGTCAGATTAATCTCTTGGTCAATAAGGTTTTCTTATATATATATATATATATATGTATATATATATATATAAGATATATATATATATATCTGTAATACATGTATACACGTATATGAATCACCAGTTGCCATTAAGCCCATTTTAAAGCATTCAGAATTTTCCAAATTTAGTCCATCCTTTAAAAAAATTGCAAGTGATTAAATTTATATGTATCTCACACATATGACTAAGACATTACACAGCATAAGTGTGTCAGTTTATTTTCTATCTTCCATTTTAGTGACATCTTAGAACAAAGCTCTCTTTGTTATACAAGAAAACTTCTGAGAAATAGAAAATGGAAACGTATGGAAAAAATTAACTAACTGACACCGTTCTGGCAACCAACAAGCATCAACTGCACATTACCAACACGAGCACTTAGCCTGCCAACAATTATTTGCTGTCAGTCACAAAAATAAACTGAAATTTTCTTGCTCTTGTTTTTGCACAAACCTTTTTATTAATGCTACTAGCCATTCTTCTGCTTGGGGTTCAAAAGATAGAATGATTCAGTGAGATATAATAATTTCATATCATGCGAATCAGTTGGCTGCAACCTTGGGCCCAGATACTACAGGTAAGAGGATAGATGGTAGCTCATGGGGTTATTTGTTGCACATTCCCCACAAAAACTGTGAACGAATGCCTGGATACAGGTATTTCTTTGGGTTTTACTTAGTTTTGTCTACCCAAAGTTGTATATATGCATCTATGTATGTACGGGCACAAGCATACCTACACCTCTGAGTGTGTCGCCACTCAACACTTATTTTTGCAAAAGTTGACCATAATTATTCAGCAGTTTCACATAAAGGGAGGATTATCAGAATGTATATGTTGAACTGATTTCATTACAGACTCCAATAGTCTTCCCTGTAAAGCTCTTTCAGAGGCAAACAGGACAGCACTACTCAATACCAAAATTAACTTCTAATTCTTGTAGTAGATTCAATGAGGACATGGCTTGAGATCTAAGTTTCTTCTACAGATAGTGTCACTGTTAATTAGTTCTATAATAATCCATTTGCTCACGCAGGGCTCATTGTAATACTGAAATTTCCAAAGGTACCTCAAGCTCTCTTGACAAACATGGCAACACATCACTTCTGCCTCAGTTGGAAAAAGTTGCCTCAGCAGGAAAGATTGAGATGCTACTTTTTCTTTCTAGCAGAAGTTGCTCTGAATGATATGAGCTTGTAAACTGGCAAAAGAGGATAATGAGTCCAGGTATAAATTATTTGCATCGACAATACAACAATAACACTTACTGCATAAGAGACTAAGCTACTGTATCCTTTGACTACATCTGCCCACTGTTTCTTAATGGAAAGATCTAAGAATCCATTAAGATGAAGCTGTCAATCCTATTTACAGAGTACCAGCCTGCAAAATCCATTATGAACTACAAAGGCTATAGGACAGGTTCTTGCCTTCCTCCTTGACGATCCAGCTTATTAAAAGAAACAAAAGAATCCTCACTAACTGTGAATTCATATAGGCAGCAAATAAAGCATTTTAAAATATTCATCTTTTTTCATCATAAGTTTTTAACAAATAATAGTTACAGAAATTGGAGATTTTGTTCAATTAAATGAACTTCTACTTATTCAGTCTCATGAACTACTGCATTTCAGCTGTTCTCATTAATTGTCCCATCACAAGCTGCTCTGTAGGAGCCTTGCAATGCTGTTTGGAAATATATTTGGAATTTAAATCACTAAGATGAAATGCTTTGTCCTTCAAGACCAGAAGTGCTTCATACAGACCAGATGTGAGGGAAGCCTGACCTTCAGTGTCTCCAGGGATGGGGCATCCACCAACTCTCTGGGCAAGGTGTTCCAGTGCTTCACTACCTTTATTGTAAAAACTTACTTCTTATATACAATCTAAATCTCCTCTCTTTTAGTTTGAAACCATTTCCCCTTTTCTTATCACAACAGACTTTGCTAAAATGTCTGTATCCTTACTATTAGTCTATTATCTATTATCTATTAACTATTATCCTGACTGGTAGGGAGGTTCAAATTTTACTGCTGTACCACCAGTATCTTCCCTGGATGTCGTGGTCCAACATAATAAAATAAGCAGCATTATTTTCAGGGCAACCCTCATAATATTGGTGTTAAACAAACATATGAATCACAATTATAAACAACAATGCAGAGGAATTTCTTAGATATTGATCAGAGACATCTTACATGCCTACCTCATGATGTTTTTTTACAGTGGCATAGAAGTCCTATTGTTGTATTCTGGGAGAAGTACACTGTATGTCTGCTTCAGGAAGTCTTCCGTTCGATTCTATTTTGATTCTTAATGCTTTCCCTTGCTATAGGCCAGCTGCTCTGCTTTTCCCTTGCATGGATGCAGCAAATCTTTACAAATAAACTTGGTCACAATTGTCAGATCTGTAAAGAAAACAGATAGGGAAATCCAGCGTTTTAAGCATAACTGCACTTAGTCCTTGGACTGATTGAAACAACATGGGTAATATTACATACAGGTTGCAAATTCTTTTAGATCTGAATGTAATCTGTTCATTTCACATAGATGTGAGACTCCATATGTTTTTATTTCTAATGCTAAAGATCATTTGATTCCTCAAATCTTTATTTTGAGCAAAGTCACCTCTAATGTATCAGATTTTGTTGTGGAATATATAGAAGATGTATCTTTTGCAGTATTTTTTCTTAGTTCTCTTTACTGGAATCATTATATCAGACTTATCAATAGGGTAGGCTTTATCACCTATTATCTAATCCTTCGCACATTTCAAAAATCTTTACCCTTAGCCTAATAAAAGCAACATATTTTACACAGCATTTCACATATCTATCTATAATTACCATTACAGTGTTACAGGTATATATTACAACAAATTCTTAAATGGAGAGATATAAGTATGCAAGACCCTTGATGTACACATATTAGTCCAATAACTGCTAATGAAAGTTGCTTCCTCAAACTAAGGATAGCAGAGCAAAATACTCCCTTGATTCTGAGAGATTTTTGACTACAGCAAACCACAAGACAGTTATGTGCACAAACAGGTTCAAGCCTTACTAGACAGTTATACATAGCAGTTCTTAAACATGGCAGAGAAACAGTTTGTTGATAAAACCAGTTAGTTCTGAGACACTGGGCAATTTCAAATAATAATAATAATAAAATAAAAAGAGTATGATTACTCATTGCTTTATAAAAAATTTGCAGAAAGCAATCAGAAAGTGATTTTGGAATATATTTCATACCTACTAAGCACATTATGAAGATCCATATTGTTTAATTTTTATGAATAATTTGTAAATTGAATACAATGCACTGCCTTTTTTTTTTTTTTTTTTTTTTTTTTTTTTTTTGGAATCAAACCAAATCATCACCTACAAGGAGTGATATTGATAATATTATTAGGCCTGGGGTTTTTTTAAATTACATTTATTGCATTCAAGCTGAGATTAAGAGGTTAACTCCCAACTTATTCCCCAATTATTCATAATTTTAGCTTATTGACTGTGCTATAGATCAGCAGCCGTTTCTTTCTAGCAAAAAAGAAAAGAGTCTTGCTTATTTCCTCATCATTGATCAATTCAAAGTGAAATTAATGTTTAATAGCTGCATTGTTCCAGTACATGTAAATTTTGACCTTCCTTAAAATAAACATGTATTTCAATGCCATTATCAATATCATTCACTTGAAGAATCTTCCAGTATCTGAGGAGAAAAAATGTGCCTCTATTTGCTAACAAATAATCTTTTAAAATCTTTACAAAAACAGGTTTTGTGCCTATGTAAATACAGTTTTATTCAAAAAGAATTTAGAAATTCCCATCGGTACACAAATAGAAAGAAAGGCCATTTCTACATACAGATAAGTAAAAAAGAACGAAGTTTATGTAGTAGCCCAAATTTTATTATTACTACATACCCAAACCAGAATCAGATATAAACTTCTTTGGCACCTCCAACTCTCAAATAAAACAAAACAGGTGACGTTCAGCACCTATCCTCAAAACTCTACATAGCACCAATATTTAGAACTAGCATTGCTCTTCAGCAGCTAGAACCATTGCTTTCTCTAATGCTTGATGATAATAGGTGAAAGCTCTCACAGGTGGGATTGTGATGCTAATGTCTTATGCTGCCAATGACAGTCTGCCCTTGTTTGGGAGAAAAGTATGTGCAATGATTTTGGAAGTTATTTAAAGACACAGAAACACCAGGATTTCCACACAAGATTTCCAAAAGTGACTTTGGATTTAAAACTCAAGATGTCTTGAGAAGACAGAAGTGAGACAATATTTTACCATATACAATGAGAAAAACATTGTTCTTAATCATAGAATAGCTCAGTCTTCCAGAAGTGAAACATACAGAGATGTACAGACTAGAATACACCAAAAGCTGTGGTAGAGTAAACCACATTCTACAGATTTCTGAAATTATTATACTGGCTACGAGCAACCTGTCTCCCTATATTTTAGCTAGCCCAATACTGAACGCATAGGTAGAAGCTGGAGAAGAAGCATGTAAAATGTATTGATGAATCTGTTTCCTCTTGAAGCACTGAACTAAGTTTACCAGCACACTTCACATCACTGAACTAAGATTACCAGCACACTTCACATCTCTTCCTGACAGCCATTACTTCCTCTCCAAGTTTGGAAGTAGTCACCTTGGGTGGGAACGAGAAGAGCAGCCTTGCAGTCAGAGCAAGATGAAACATATTTCCAAGCTAGCAGAAAGAAATGTCCGTTACTGTAGATGTGAGCTTGGTCATTCCCTTTGTCTTACAGAACAAAAGCAGGCCAAAAACAAACACAAACAATTAGAATAAGCGCTACTTCAGAATTTCCACCCAGACACCCAGAATTTCCAGGTAAAGGTACATCATCACCATCAAGATGTTTTCTTTTTGTGAATGAGACATTATAAATCTTTCACTCCTGACTTATCACCAGATTCTTAAGGTCTGATTGTGATTGTTCCCGTAGTACAGATGGAAAATGATGCATACCTACTGCGATTGACTTTGGCAAGGTTGGGAAATGATTTAGTGTCAGATCTCAAAACAGCAAATTCCAAGTCCTCTGTTCTAACCACGAGTCAAAATTTACTCCATTATACTATTGTCTCTGGGAGAGAAGAAGATACATATGGTTTTTTAAGTTAAAGCTGATGAGATCAAGTAAAATTCTTTACTCACACTGTTCTACAGTGCTTAGAAAACCTGATGTTCTTTTCTAGCTGTAATCATCATCTGATATTTATTTCTGTCGGTATCTCAGTGTCTTCTGTCACCTTTCAACTGGCAAAGCTTTTATTTTTTATTATTAAATTACTTATAAAGTGCATTGTCAGCCCACTCAGCATGCTTCTTAATTAATTACAAGTTGTAATATGTTTCTGGCAGCAGAGACAAAGAACTCTCCTGCTACTAACAAGAGATTAGCAATTTCTTTCATTAGCAATTGTAAAGAAAATTCTATTATTATTAATTATATATTCATTACTGTTATTATTATTTAACAGCAAGCTGCATGTACTGCCAAGTTTAAGATATCAGGCCTCATGTTCTCATAGTGAGTCCTGAAATAAGAGCATTTCAGGAAAGGGTGAACATCCCTATATTTAATTCTATCTACTTAGATACGTAGATGTATTCTTCATAGGCCTCTCTGAGCACTTAACACTGCATATTCTATGAAAAGCATTTTATCAGACGCCAAAAGCTCCTTTCATTTCCAGAAAAATTTCTGTCACACACTCAGGCACAGACCTACTCTTTTTTATTTTTTTAAAGAACTTTATAGTTTCTTATCTATCTGTAAACTATTTTTTCTTTAACAAATTCCAAAGTAAGCTTACACTTTCCTATATTTTGTCACCTTTAGGTCCTTTAAAAGGGAAGGCTGGATTTCAAAAGAGCTTTCAGAGAAGAGATCAAGTGGTCTCTGAATCTCACTACATAACATTGTAACTGAGGACAGATTTACAGTGGTATTTCTTTTAGCGACAGGAAAGTTTTTAGATCCAAAGCAGTTCTGTGGTCCAACCAATGAAGCTTTCAGGTGTAACAAACAGAATGATGTGGAGGCAGGAAAAAGTGACTGGGTGAGGATTACAGTGACATAAACTGGTGCTAAAAGTAAAGAAAATGATTTGAGAGCGCTTTTTCCTTTGAGAATGGCGGCTTGCCTGAGTTGCTTCAGAAGGCTGGGACATTTTTAAATACCTATCCTTTTGGCTTCAGTATATTCTTAAGTGTTTTTACATGCAATGACACAAGAAGTCATTTCAAGGCACCTTACCTCAGTGCCCAGAATAAGATTTAATTTATTACCTACTACTTTTTTTACCTTTTCTATCATGGGAAGAAACCCATAACAGCAGGCAGACCATGCTGGCATGGCTGAGATAGTTCTTGTCTTCTGCTATTTCTCCCAGTATTTTTATTAATATTTAATAGCCCTATCAAAGTAGTTTAATTAAAATGCGAGGATCTGGAATACTGGCATTACCTGCAATCACCCAGATCGACATCAATTTAGAAGCAGAAGTAAATCCCATCATTTTCTCTCTTCTACAAGGTTGGTGAGCTGCAGTTGATGTACCAGGAAGAAAGGAAATACAGTAACCATTTCATTCACCCCAGCTAAATATGGTCGTATGAGTTCAAAGCGCAGATGCAGGTATAAAAACCCTTACGATATATAAATGTTCTGCATCTTATAAAAGAAAAAATAGCCTTATTTGTCAGAATAACAACAGGTAGTAGCCACCCACAGAGTCTGTATGAAATTGTAATTCATTCTCAGGGCTGATCATAGCCATTTCTGAACTATCTTCAAACAAGTGCTAGGGGGAGAACTGCAACCTTGCATGTGTAGTAAGAGGCCATTCATGACTCTGGTGTCAAAGGTTTCCCAGAGCTCTACACAGCTGCAAAATTCCCTTCCACTCCTCAACAAAGACAGAACAAGACGTATTTGTTTAGTATTATGACAGTGGATTCTACAAATTCCAATTAGTCACAATTAGTCTCTGTTTTCATACATTACTGAACCTTAAAGCAACAGGTTCCTTAGAAGTATAGACATATTTACAGAGATGGATACAGACATAACAGGGATACTTTGCCTGTGTAGTTTGCTGGTTGGACACAACATTTATAATCTGGAAACTGTACATTCATCATAGCAATAGAGTCTTCATCTACATCTAGAAATACCTGGACTCTAGAATAGGAAAACTCTCAATGTGACTATTGGCTGTTTTTATCCATTCTGCAGTAATAATTGAAATTTCAAATTGATTTTCCAGTAAATATATGAAAATAAAAAATATAATTATATGGAGAAAAACTTAATCTAGATTATAACACACTGTCTTGATTTGAAATGTCTGAGAAAACTGAATTCAATCTCAATGTCCAGTCAAGCTTCCTGCTATGGCCACAGCATCCCGTAATTAGTTATTACGATGTTTCTAGCTAGTCTTACTGTTCCCCTAACAATATGTAGATTCTTGTCCTCCACATACAGATGTAATTCATTTGGCTTTTGTTTCTTTTTGCTTTTAGTAGGAAGATTTTGGACAAACCATTTCAAAGTACTTTTACATCTTAGAGCAACTGAACTATCTTTCAGATGGAAGACATTGCTGTTATTCAAATAAGAAACACTCCCTTTTTTGTCCACCTGGGCATGTATTCAGAAGTATGACATTTAACTGCTCCACAAGATGGAAGTATATAGAGCAATTACACTAGCTTTTTAAATTTTAATTCCAGTAGCTTTTTAAAAATATTGGATATCATGGTAACTACCACTCTGCCTTTAAATGTACATTTGATAAAATATTAACAAAAAGTACACAAGGCCCTTCCCATTTCTGATATATCTATCTTTTCATTATTCTTTTGGAAAAACTGAAATACCAAGCATTACAAGATAGCCTTGCCTGAAGAGAGAAAGCAAGTCCAAGGGATCAGAAGAACCTGTAATCTAGTTTCTAAGTTTTGAGCTTCAGCATCAGCAACTTCCTTTTCTGTAATTTCACAAAATACGTTACATTTCATACAGTGTTAATTGATGACACTTTAATTGATGAGATGGAAATCATGATGTTTAGCAGACACTGAAGTTTCTTGAATGGCTATTAATAGGAAGTTATTGACAATTATTATTATTTTGGATCTAACAGTTAGTATTGCAATCATCAGAATTTTCTTTTAAAGTATGGAATCTGAGATAAAGATCTCAAACAGATACCCAGTAGAGAGAGTGGGACCTGTGTGATAGAAGCAACTGTAAGAGAAACAAAACACTGCAGATACGTGAGCAATACTAGATCTAATTCCAGGGTAGCTGTTTTTGGAAAAGATTGTCCATTTATTTATTCACAAGGTTTAGATTTGGTTGTCTATCTTTGAGTTCATGAGAGTACGTATGAGAGCAAACCCTGTGATGCAGAGTAATTTTCTATGCAGAAATCTGTATTAGCATCAGCTTATTAATTTTCTGCTATACCCAAAGCACTTAGGAAAAGACAGTTTGTAATTTCTGCAATAACAGTGAAGGCACGTCCAATCCATCTCATTATTTCTCCTAGTTAAGGGTAATTCATGCAAAATAATGGGTCAGTTTAGCACCCATGAGTGTCTTAGTGAGAATCTAGGCATAAGGCTTACAAAGAAACTTCAAGAAATTTCGACAAGAAAGGCTTCCCCACAGAATAAGCATTCCCCATTTTTTTAAAGAAGGGAAGAAGAAAGAATTGGAAAAACATTACCTCTGTGAAAATGCAGATGGAAAAACTTAGATGTTTTCTCAGTTTAATTCTCTCACAAAACACCATTTCCCTGCTATTTCAGGTAGATCATAGAATCATAGAATGGCCTGGGTTGAAAAGGACCACAATGATCATCTAGTTTCAACTCCTCTGCTATGTGCATGGTCACCAACTACTAGACCAGGCTGCCTGGAGCCACATCCAGCCTTAAATGCAATGTAATCTACCTACTATGGGGTCATTTTTGCATTCTGTTCCACTTGATCAAAATCATATTAATTTGTATGTAGCAATAACTCTATGAATACGGTCTGTTACTGAAAAAAAACCATCTGCTTTTCATGAGAGAAGTTAGAAGCCATTAGGGAAAGAAAAAATATTCTTTTGGTAGCACTAGGAACCCAGGACTCAGTAGACTAAATGACCTGCAAAAGTCCGTTCCAATTCAAATGATTCTATGATTTTGGTGTAGGACAATGGACAAGTACCTCACCATCTGATGTGGGAGATCCAGATGTTACCTGCCACAGCATACACTCTTCAGGAACATTTCCAGTCACTCAGCAGCCTAGTATCAGGAATGACATAAGTAAGTCTCTCTTCAGTTTCACCATCATCTACAAAAAGGGAATGGCAACACCTGCTCACTGTATACTGCATATTTTGCTTCACTTTAAGATTTCATTAATCAGCTAATAGCTACAAAGCATACAGGAGATGTTAACAAATATTCACAGCAATTCAGAGGTGTAAATTGGTGTTTGCTAATAGAATTCTCCCACTGTGCAACACTTCACTTTCTGAAGTCTATCATCTGATGCTATTACAGCTGATAAATGAGTCAGTCTCACCAGGAGTGTTTTGAGTGTTTTGGACAAGCTTCTTTGGGAGTCTTTTCATGCTGATATGCTATTTTGAATGTTGCTGTTGAGGGTTTTTTTAATTTTCTTTTTTCTTTTTTCTTTCTTATATAGTCCTTAAATCACTTACTAAAGTCTGTTTAAACTTAATAGAAAAATTAGCCTGGACTTCAGATTTTCTGTTTTCAAGTACTGCAGGCATCAGAAACCTAAATCAAGACAGTACTTTGTCACATACATAATTTCCTTCTGCTCCTAACTTAGAAGTAGAAAGCAAACAAAAAGAGATGATTAACACTATTTATTTTTTATTCAATTCATCTGTATTTGGTGATGTATGCATTAGAACATGACTATTCCCTCTTTTTACTACAAGATTAACCACACTGATCATTGAAGCATTCTAACCTTCTCTTTATGCAGAAAAAAAAAAAAGTGCAATTAATCCTTACAATTAGCAGCAGTTTCCTCAGTGGAGAATGAGGAATTCTTAGATTTTTTAGAATTACCCTGCAGTTTCTTAGAACAATTGGGTCAACAACTAAAAGCTTCTTATTATTGAAAGTATTTGAATTTCAGTCTAAATGAAGGTTCGGAGGCTTTTTTTTTTCAATTCCTTCATTTTTCTTATGCATGCATTTAGAAAATTACTTCTGCATTATGAATGCACAATGTATGAATATTTTGAATGTTTATGTGATAAGCTATCAAGACTCTATAGTTCATTAATGAAGAGAAGTAAAGAACAAGTTAAAAGTGTTCTAAAATCTTAGATTAGTTAAGTCGTTTTCCTGTAATGCAAAGTATTTTGTGACACTTCAAGCTTAAGTTGCCACTGTTCTCAAGTTAAAACTCACCTTCTGGTCAGCTGAGTTGATGCAGTTTTCTTCCGAGACCTCACTGTGAATCAGAGAGAAGAACACATCTGTCTTTCTCCTGAAAAGAAAATGAAAGAGTTTATACATTTTTTCTAAGTATGAGGATCTCCTTATTCTGCTTCATTATACTGCCCTTCAAACTGTAGTCTTGGTATAAGTAAGAGTGAATAGACGATGTTGCTGGCAAACACTTTCTCATACTGAGCTATGGGCTATATCTTCTTGCATAATCCAGTTTTAAAAAATTTGCCTTAGACAATTCAGAGCATCTTTCATAGTCTCCAAGACAAAGAAATGATTCTTACTGATTCCAGTGTCAGACAATATTCTAATTATTGGTCTAAAACATCTAGAATAGTATAAAAACGTCTAAAATAGTATAACCAATTATCACAACTCGTTTGCAAATCTCAAACTATTCAGTGTTCAGTAGCTCTATATACTTACATTTTAGTGGAATAGATTTCTATCTATCTTCTGTCCCTGAAATACACAACCAGTCTTCAACTTTCTGGAGGAAACGAACAGAAAAACAAACAAAAAAAAAACCCCAAACAAACCAACCAACAAACAAAACCTTGGAAACAAAAACGCAGAATGCACTTAGAAAGAACTCAAATATATGTTCAACAAATATGGTCTGAGGAAGTTGATGTCTGGAAGGTTAGATGATGCCTATAGTTTGTAATGGACAGATTCAACATTTTGGAACACTTAAATGTGGGCAATGTTACGCTAGAAACACCACAGATCCTAGTGGTTGGCAGTAGCTCAGAATATCACTTAAGGTCAAAATAGTGCTTTGCAGACCTTTTGCACTCATGCCTTCTGCAGCTCTGCAACATCCAGCGTATATTCTAACTTTGATTCCACCATCATCTTCTCTTCCTATCCTCGCGTGAATTATTTCACTCCTCTACTGACAAAATGTATTTTCTATTTTTTCTTTTTTGTAAAACATTTTCTTTCTATTTATTATGAATTACATATATAATGGCAGCAGAAATCCCTTTCCTCTAATCACATGACTGTGGCCATTAAAAGTCATATGTTCCAGAGTAGATAATGTACCTACATTGTTTCAGCATGAGAATATCAATTGTATTGTATAGGCATATAATACAATCTGCTCAACAGTTTGAAGCCAAAAGACCTTGTTTCCAAGTATTCAGTGCCCACTACACCAATTATCTTGTGCCACTTTTGTTATTTATGTTGATTATCCTCATCTGTCTAAATTGCAGGTGTGGCTATAAAGAAAATCCTGTCTGGATCCTAGCAGAGAATTTATTAAAAAGATTTTTGCAAGAAAATCTGATGATACATATATAGCAATGCATGAACACCATTCAACACGTTCAGTGTCCTAGATCACTCTAAGTGTCTCAGTGCCTTGATTGTAAGAGTTGTGTGTAATAGATGATACTAAGGAGCTTTGGATAGCATGCTGGGTCTGCCTGGGACAGAGTTCATTGTATTCACAGTACTCTGAATGGAACTGTATTTTGAAGTAAAAGAATGTTGGTAACAACAGTGTTTTCAATACTACTGAAAAATACTTACACAGCATTAAGGATTTCTCTTTTCTCCACTCTGCTCCCCTGCACTGAGTAGGCTATGGGTCAGCAAGAAGTTGGGAGAGGACATCACTTGAACAGATGACTCAAACTGAACCATGAGATATTTCATGTCATGTAATGTCAAGCTCAGCAACAAAATTGAGGTGGGGGAACAGTACACAGTCAGGTAGCTATTACTCGGAGAATGCTCAGACATCAGTCTCCTTGTGGGAGGTGGTGAGTGATTATCTTCACATCACTCCTCTTTCTTTCAGTTATTAAACTGTTTTTGTCTTGACTCACAAGTTTTCTCATTTTTGCTCTTACAAACAGATCAAAATGTATACATGCAGTGCTTAGCTGCTCACCAGGGTCAACCCACCACAGTTATATTAGAGGGGCTGGGAAAAAAACAAAAAGAAATTAAAAACCTTTCCTATCTTTACAAGCAAACAAACAAACTCTCTCCATATCCAGTATTGGTCCTAAATGGCCATATTGTCCCTCAGTAGCACCCACTGATAAAATTACATTAAATATATATCCAATTTGAAGGCTTAAACTAGTAGTGTTCCCCTGGGGTCAGTGCTGGGTTCTGTCTTGCTCAAAAACTTAATCAGCGACATGGAAAAAGGGATAGAGTCCACTCTCAGCAAATTTGCTGATGACACAAAACCAGGAGAATTCTCTGACACACCCAAAGGCTCTGCTACCACTCAACAAGACCTGGACAAACTGGAGAGTTGGGCAGGGAGGAACCTGATGAGGTTTAACAAGAGGAAGTGTAGAGTCTTGTTCTTATGGAAGAATAACCACATGAATCAGTACATGTTAGGGGATGACTTACTGGAGAGAAGCTCTGTTAGAAAGACCTGGGGGTCCTGGTGAAAAACATGTTGGCCAGCAACATGCCCTTGTAACCAAGAATGCCAATTGTATCCTGGGTTGCGTTAAAAAGAGTGTGAATAGCAGGTCAAGGGAGATTACCCTCCCCTCTACTCCTCCCTACTGAGGCCACATTTAGACTAGTGTCCAGTTCCAGGCTCTCCAGTTCAAAAAAGACAGGGATCTTCTAGAAGGAGTCCAGTGGAATGTCAAAAAGATGATGAAGGGCCTGGAGCATCTCCAATGTGAGGAAAGACTGAGTAACCTGGGTCTGCTCAGTCTAGAGGAAAGAAGACCAAGAGAGGCAAGGAGTTATGGCCAAAAACTTGAACATAGGAAGTTCCGCATAAATATGCAGAAAGACTTCTTTATGGTAAGGGTGACAGAGCACTGGAACAGGCTGCCCAGAGAGGCTGTGGAGTCGTCTTCTGTGGAGATACTCAAGATCTGACTGGATGCCTACCTGTGCAACTTACTATAGGGTACCTGCTTTAGCACAGGGGTGTTGGACTTGATGATATCTTGAGGTCCATTCCAACCACTATGATTCCGTGAAAATAAACACTGCCAGACTGTATGCTCCAGACAAGGCAGCCAAAGTAAAGCAAATATTCATATGAAAACAGAAAGAATTTCTTCCAATATCACTGTTAACATTCCTCTTTTCAAAGCTATTCAATCACGTTGCTAAGGTTGAAGGACGTGATCAACATTTAACCCTCCAAACCAGTCTCAGGTCCAGCATTCTATTGCCCACATCCTCATCGGAAGACTCTCCTCATCTAATAAACTATAAAATGAAATCTGGTTCTCTGGTGACCTGAAATCTGTTATTATATTTTCTTGTCTTCCTTTACTTTTACATGCTATGACCGATCAAATTCAGCATTCACAGTTTCACACAGAATGAATAATTTTTACCTGTAAGATATCCCTAAGGTCTGCACATTTATGTAGCTTTGGAAATCATTAACAACTCAGATGGGTTAATATCTCAACTCTCAGTCTACTCATCTGTGCCTGTAGGACTCACAGAGGTGCTAAATAACTCTAGCGAGAAGCCAAGAGAGGTGAAGTGACTCAGCAAGAGCTAAGCAGGTCCACAAACTTAAAAGTCATCTTTGTCCCTTTTTTTTTTTTTTACAACAACAAAAGAATACTACTAGTATCATGAGAACTAAAAAATATGTTTTCTTCTTTCACAAAATAGAGGAATGGAATAATCCAGTTATTAAATACAAGAAGGTTTTTACATTCAAGCCTCTCTTGTCTCACAGAATTCCACAACGGGTTTTAAACAAGAAGTTATTTGGAACCTACACATCAACATTTAAATGATACCAATAAGATCCTTATTATTAAATATTTATTTTTATAATATGCTTATCTATGAACACTTAAATTATCTTTCCTAAAAGCATATACCATTGAGTTTGTTCCAAACAAATTTACAGCAGTTTAGCTGTAGGTCTGCCTGAGGTAGGTAAGAATAAATCCCAGGAAATCAGTGTTGAGATGTCTAAATCACCTTGCCTGTTGTGTAACTGTCAGATTTCTATAGCTTATTTAAGCAGTATTCTTTATCCTTAAATAATCTCGAGCAATTTTTTGTTTTTGTGCAATTCACTATTGTATTAAAATATTATTTCCTAAAAAGTAAGTGTGCGACTAATCCGTTGAGAATGTTGCAACACTGTGGAATTAGATTGAGTATTAGCAAAAGGAAACCGTGAGGAGATTTTAATGAATATATCATAGACATAAAATTTCATTTGCACATGGCTCTGTTCAAACCAAAGAAGAAAGGGGAAAAACACAGCTCTCATATAACAGTGAGACCACTCTGGAGACTACATATTCCCTTCTAGAGTAAGGAGTATCCCTCAGAGATCTGAGAGGTCTGAGGTTCTGAAGAATATATGTGACATACTTCAAGTAATTTTCTGTACTTTCTGTTCTGACTCTTGAAAGAGCTCTGCTGGCTTTTCTAATGTCAAAGACATATGATACAGGGTAGTCATTCAGTCTGAGATTCTCATTCACTGGTAATTATCTCTTTGTAATACTGTGTGCTCTTCTCTGGGACAAATTTATCCAGAATTTTCTCCCCAGGACTCATTCTCAAATACATATATTATATAGTTAATATACAGACAAGTAGTAGGCCTTTGGTAATTGCAAAGTATCACATTAAATTATATAACCAAAATTTATTGAAGATTACATAACACTTTCACTCTAGCTCTGCACAAGACTGCTGATATTCTCATGTTTTTTCATTGTCTTAATTTTTATTTTCTCAGTTAACTTTCTTCCTTCATTTCTATTATTTTTAACTTGTTTACAAATGCTCCTTATTCATTTGTTTGAAGAATGCCAACTGGTTGTAAAAGAACGAAACAAAGTTGGGAAAGTTACATCATCAGATGCTTTTGATTTAGCAAGAAGGTGCTTGCTTCATTTAATGAGAACGACCTCACTCAGAAAGCAGCACGACAGACTGCAGCACCAGGAGCACCAGGAGGGAAGAGAGCGGGAAGTGAAATTGCAGACAAATTTGCTTCTACTATGTCCCTAAACTCACTCTGGTTTTAGAGAGTC